GTTCAAAAAATGAGAAGTTTAGTAGCAATTGCAGGTTTTATTTCGCTCATTTTACTACAACTTAGATAGAAGACCACCTAGAGAATGCAGTACTATGATGTCACTATGCAATGCTGCATTAGCTTCATAGTAAGTGCCACATCTTGCATGCTGCTAGTCATAGTTTGACCTCTGTAACCTTATGATATGCTATCATTGTCCTGATTGTTCTACATATCCTAGTAATTAATATAGAGTGTTATATATATATATATATATATATATATAGTGGAATTTTCTAGTGACAGAAATAGTGATAGAAAATAGAAAATTGAAAAATTGAGTTCATTGAATGTTTAGTATGGTGATGACCTTGGCTACTGCTTCTTAAAGACATAAATGCAGGTAAAAATTCAGATAGAAACCTGGAATCCATTTTTGGGGAGTTTTGGTGGGGGAAGGTTTGAGGGTATCATTGAAGGAGCAGCAGTCATAAGGATTCAATCCTATTTACTTCCTGAATTCATTGTTGCTTCTTGTGGTATATGCTTCATTCATGTTCTTAATTACACAAAAGAATGACTTTGTAGCACTTCATTGTATTGAAGGATTGGAGATGCAATGGAAAAGGTTATGTGGCATATCGTAATTTCATTAATCGGCCAGGGAATTGGGAAACTTCGCAAATACCAAGCCGTCCAAGCACCCCGGGGAACAGGTGGTTGAGATCTATCTTTTCTTGTTGTATTGAAAGCTTAAATACATTTTATGAAGTTTCAAACTTTTACCATGAAACATGTTGCAATATTTTTCCTATCATTAATGCGTAAAGCATACCTTATAATCACCAGTGTTTAATATGTATCATGATAATCAAAACCCAATACATTAGGGAATAACAAGTCTCTCAATAAAAAGTATAGGGATAAGGCTCAAATAATCCATCAAACTATTTGAGAAAATGCAATTCACCCCCCAAACTAAAAAAAGCTCCAAATGAACACCTAAACTCAACAAAAAAGTGCAAGTCGCTATTTTAGCAGGTTGCCATTAACCTACTTTAGTTCGCATCTTATGTGTAAGTTAACATTTATGTGGTGTCTCACTTGGCCCCTAATAATGATAATAATAATTATCACCTTTAAAGAACCATTTCCTTCTTCAACGGCATAGCTAACAACCACGATGACCTTGCAGACTATCTCTCGAAGGAGATCAGGTTCTTTACAGGTCTAGGATTGATTTAGTTATTTTCTTCACTTCTCTCATATCCTCAACCTTTTACCCATTCACACACCCCAAAATCCCTAGCAAGCAAATAAAAACCTTTGTCCGCCATTTTTCTCTCTCTCTCTCTCTCTCTTTCATCCCACTTCCCATATCTTCATAAATTTCTCCTCTCGTCCCACATTTGCTCATTCTTTAACCAAATTTTTTTAAAACACCTAAGTAGGTTCTTAGATGTTTGGAGTCTTGTATTTCACTTGCTATTAGCTTTTATGCTTCCATTCTTGTTTAATGGCAGCTATAATTTTTCATTCTTTGAACAAAGTTTTATCTAGCACTGATAGCTTTTTGTACTATGGGAAAGTATATATTTTTTCTTGTTCAACTGTTGGTAGGGTCATTAGTTTCTTAATATGGTTGGGTTCTGGACTTCTGGTCTCTGTTGAAAGTGGTGAAAACTTATGTGAATGTGCAGCTTTCCTATTAACGACTCTTGTTGAAGTTTGTGTTCGATATAATCTGACATCAGGTTGATTTACTGGTTGATGCATCAGTGGGCGATGGCTATCTCCAAATCGGCTATCTCATTTGTTTGACCTGGACAGCTGGAGCTTTAACAGAGTGAGTACCACTTCTCTTTTTTCCTGCCAATCTCTCATCTAGCATATCACTTTCCTTATAGTGTGTTTGCTGTGTTGACTTCTTGTGGATAAATATAAAATAATAAATGCATAACTTTTTAGACAGTTTAATATTTTATGCAAGTTGAGGTGAAAGACATGCTTCAATAGTAGTATCAATAAGAGGTCTTTGAGCACATTCGTAACCTAGGCTACTTTTTCACTTTTTTTAAACATTGTCATGTCAACTTGTTTGGTACTTGCTTTATTTGCAGGACCGAGCAAGCATTGCTCAAAGTCAAACATTGAGTCGCACTACAAGTTTAAGCTCAAATGCAAGTGATAGTGATCGTTCTCGTACTCGTAAAAAGTCTGAACCTGCATATTCCTTTGTTGGGATGCATTGCATCTTTGACAAATGCCAGGCCATGGGTGATTACTTTTATCAAATGTGAAAATAAACTAATTTTCTGCAGTCCATTGCCATTTTACAACTGAACCATATATTTTCTGTTTTTAGTTACGGTCATAAAGTTTGGGCACATGAGTTCTGATCTACTTGCATATGGGGCATCTGATGGGAGCTTGACAGTGTGCACTGTATCTATGCCTCCTTCAATTCTTAAGCAGTTGACCGGACATACTAAAGATGTCACAGGTTGGATTAACTGGTATTGGGTTAAGCAGTCTTTTATTCAATCTTATAGAGAAATTGTTCAATAACCACTAAAAAGGAATTGTTTCAAAAGTAATATGTCACCATATGGGGTTTTTTTTTATGAAGTTCAATTATGTGTGCATGTATCTTATGTGCCTTCGCAGTGACTTCACTGAATTGTGTTGCTTTGTGGGCAATGAAACCTGTACATCAAAATGAAAAGCTTAATAATATTTATGAAGTTATTATTCCCATGTTCTAAATTCTCACTCCTGTTTCAGATTTTGACTTCTCGGCAAATGACCAATACATTGCCTCATCTTCAATGGATAAAACTGTGAGAGTATGGGATATTTCCCAAGGCCTTTGCATTAGGGTGATATATGGAGTGTCATCACAACTATGTATACGATTTCATCCTGTAAGTGGACATTAATGTTGTTCCTTAAATCTTAATCCAATGGTGACATTCTGAGTTAGCAGTAGCAATCATTCTATGTTGCTGTTTGGCTTACAGGTCAATAATAACTTTCTTTCTGCTGGAAACTCAAAAAAAGAAACAAATGTGAGTATGCTATATTTTTTTCTTACAATGAAGTCGTTCTGAAACAGCTTAGTACCACATATATCTGTGCATAATCTTGAATTTAATTTTCTTTACCAAACTAAGATCTCAGTGTTACATCTCTTTCCTCATTGGGTTCTAAAATTTGCAACCGATTGTAGGTGTTTAATTTTAGCACTGGGAGAACAATTAGCAAAACTGTCTTTGATGGTGAAGTAACTGCTATGGATCATGATCACACTGGTCAGCTTATTTTCTGTGGTGATGGTCAGGTTGCTGCTACTGATAGACCCTTGCTCCTGTTTCAATTTTTTGTGAAATGGTCCATGGCGTAACATGTTTGATTTGTTTGTTATACAGGGCTGTCTATACGCAGTGGCTATGGACTCTCGTACAGGTGTGCTATCTAGATCTCACCGACATCGGAGTAGCGGCAAATGTAGAGCAGCAGTTACAACCGTTCAATACAGGACATTTTCTCCGCTGGCACGTGGCCCCGGGTTACTTTCTTTTAATCGTGATGGAAACTTGTCTTTTTATAGGTTGGCATGGAGACTTGCTTTATTCTTGTTTTACAATGGGGGAGCACTAATAAGGTTTCATTTTTGCTTTGTAGCGTGTCTTTGGAGGTAAAAGGTTATCTGACGCTTCGTTGCTCACTTAAATTGTCCCCGCGAATGCACAGCATTCGTGCATCTTTCTGCCCCCTACTGTCCCTTGAAAAGGGAGAATACATTGGTATGGTGCTCTGCTTTATTGGATTTTTTTGAGAATCATTTTACTAAATGTGCCACTAAAACTCCTCTTCTTTTATTATTGTATTGGAAGTTGCTGGAAGTGATGATACAAATGTGTACTTCTATGATTTAACTCGGCCAAATCGTACATGTGTTAACAAGCTACAGGTATATATGAAACCCTACATTCTGGGAAAACCCCCACAGCTACTGTAAGTAGTACTTAACTAGTCAGGATGCCACATGAATGCAGGGTCATGGATATCCAGTCATAGGTATTGCTTGGAACCACGGTGAGAACTTGTTAGCTTCGTCTGATTTTGGTGGCACCGTGATTGTATGGAAGAGAGCAAAGACGACCTGAAATCCTACCTTCTTTTTTTTTTTTTTTTTTTTTTTTTTTTTAATTCAATGATTTTGATGTAAGCTGCTCTGCATCTCGTTCACCTGTATAGACTAATTCTTCATTTTGTTTTATATATATGTTGTGTTATGAAAACTCTTATCTATAAAAACCAGTGTATAATGTATTAACAAAGAGTGCGATACATACATACATGTGTGTATTGTATCTATATGGATATTATATTTGGATCTATATGTAAATATTGTATGTATGTGTATGTATATTGTATCTATATTATATATTGTATCTATTTGTATGTATCTATGTGTATATATTGTATCTAGTTGTATGTATATTATATCTATATTGTTGTTATTATTATTATTATTATTATTATTGTGTAATAAGAGTATAATTGTCTTTATATTCATAATTCCTTACTATTTTAAATTCCAATTCTTAGTATTTTCTTTTTCACCAACCAAACAATAATATCCATTTTTCTGAAATTTATTTTTCATGAAATTTCAATTCTATTTCACTTCAAATATTTTTCAACAAACCAAACGAGCCATTAGGACATCGCATGAGCCCGTTCAAGGGTAAAATACATATTTTTACATTTACAAATATGAAGCAATCATCAATTGATCATAAATGCTAATCACCTTAATGTTTCATAAACTGGTTGATTGTTTCAGTAAGCCATTTACCAAACACCTCAAAAGAGCTTGTTGACAGGTCAATTTAATACCATCAAAGCATCAAACATTGTTTTAACACCTCAAAAGAGCTTGTTTTGATTGTTTTAATACCATCAAAACACCTCAATTTCTTAGGATATATCAAAGTATCAAACATTGTTTTAATATCATTTTCAACTTCTATTGATTGTTTAATCATATACAAAGCTTGCCCAAAGGCTGCTGTCTACTATGTGAAGGAGACAATCAAGGCATATTGTCATAGCAACCATAGTTACAGTAAAACCTCTATTGCTTCTTTCCCTTGGAAAAGGTTTCATGACTTTCATCTTTATCTGGAAAATCAAATTTAAAAACATAAGTCAAAGCTAAAAGCATCTTGCAATTAAAATAGATTGGGGAAAATGAATTCACAGACCTTTTAAAAAGAGAGAGAACATCTTCACTCAAACATGGTGTTTCAAGAAACATATCACCACAGGTCTTGACATCAACCTCTTCCATTTGAAAATCACAGTGACCATCATACTCATTCCACTCAAACCACATTTTTGCAATTGTCTCCTTTCTGAAACAAGTGGAATGGTCTTCTTCCTCAGGTGAACCAGAGGCTACCAACCTGTAAGTGTATACTTTCCTTTGCTGACCGGGGCGAAATGCGCGTCCTATTGCTTGCCGTGTTACAGATGGATTCGGATGCACATCCAGTACAAGAACCCGAGATGCACCAACAAGAGATATCCCTTCACCACATGCTCGGATGGAACCAAAGAAAACCCGAGCATCAGCAGAAGTGTTAAATTGCTCCATTGAAGACTCGCGCATGCCTGAGTCTGCATCACCTGTGATCGTAAAAATTTCCTTCCCCACACTATATCCCTTGAGCTTAACCGTCAATCTCTCCAAAAATTTCATCGGCAAGAGATATTGGCTAAATACCAGCAGCTTTTCACCCCTTGATTCACATAGCTGCAGAAGATTAAGGTAAAACTTAGTCTTCACCCCTTCTTGCTCTTCCAAATCTTCTAAAATCATATCGATCTTTTTTTCATCAAATCGTTCTCTAGATCCACAGAGACATTTCAACTTGGGATGCACATATATTGCACTGCCTTCAGAGCTTACTTTAAATTTTTGTTTCAGTTTCTTGAGCTTAGCAACTTCACTTTTCTGTCTTTGATGGAGCTTAAGAAGGACTGTGAAGTCCACAAGTCCAGGAAGTTCTTCAAGGAAGTCTCCCTTGTAATAGTGAAGAACTTTACTAGTCATCTCCCTGAGATCTTTAATGATAGTAACCTTCCTTGAAAGATTTTTGTCTTCAAGAAGAGTGTACTCCACAAGCTCATAAAATTCTCTGTCTGAAACATTCTTTACAAGGTTATGTCTTCCTGATATAGATGCCCTGCTCAATATTCGTTTTTTAACAGCTTTAGAAGTATCCAGCTTCAAAAATTTCGGCTTTACAAGGTTCAAAATATTGAATACTTCCCTGACATTATTTTGGTATAAGGTCCCGGAAAGAACCACTTTACGGGGAGTTTGAACCTTTTCAAGTGCAGTTAGGGTATTTGTCTCCTCGTTGCGTGGAGTGTGACCTTCATCTAGAATGAGGATTGATGGACAGGTTAACAATATCATCCGACATTCAGCTGCAGTATTAGTTGTGTCATTGTCACATACAATCGATGAAAACTGTTGGTATCCTAGAAACATTATGCTTCTTTCTGCTGACCAATGCCTCAAAAGCTCCAATTGCTGAGATCTATTTTCTGCTTTTACAGAGTAAAAGTCATACAGAGCAAGGTCCTCCACTTGCCACCTCCGAAATTCTTTCTTCCACGTTGCCAAGATTCCTTTAGGTAGCACCACCAAAGGCCTGGCATGAGGGTATCTGGCCATGAAACTCTGTAAGAAGCTGATGATCATAAAAGTTTTCCCAGAACCGGGAGCATGTGCCAGAATGCACCCACTTGGACTATCTGTCACTAAATTGCTGAGAAGGAAATTAAACCCTTCAATTTGGTGGGCTTTCATTTGCTTCTTGTGCCTTGGATGAGCACATATTTCTTCCATGAAATCCTCCTTTGATGATTTGGTGCCATCAGGCTGGATTTCAGTTAACCTTGGACCCACTGTTTTCCGTTCTTCATATCTGTAAGTTCTAGTGCTCCTTGTGGCCTAAAGAAAGATAATAGTGTAAGAGAACATAATACATTAATAAAAAACAGAAAATGCAGGAGATATGAAATGCAATGAGAGAAACAGGAAAGATAATGAAACCTTTCCAAATTGGAGGTCAATGATTGTTTCAATACTTTTCTCAATATACCCACAAATGCGACACACGGTACCAATTTCATCCTTCAATATGAAAACGTGGTCACAGTCTTCTTTTCCATCCTTAATTGCACAGTCTTTAGACAAAAGATCCACTGTAGCATCCTATTTGGCATGAAGAAAATTCATGTAAATGACAAGAATTCTAACAGCAATTGAGAACCTGTTATAGACAAAAAATTGATAACTATGTCCTAATCCAATCGAGATTACTCGTTAAGACAACTAGCCATGAGAGATGCAGCATCATATATAGTTAAACAAATAAGTTTTGCAGAACAATAACAAATGTACCTTCGAGTATTCCATAACAAATGACATTTCCTTCCAAATATCATCAACACCATCAGCATCAGGTTGCTCATTTTCCTCATCCTCTACACCAACATAAACACCACCATCTTTCTTTTTTCCATTTCCGCTACACAGAGTTTCTCCTCCCAACAAAGTCTGGTGTCCAGCATTATCACATTCCTTTTGCGAATGACACCAACCACAAGAAATGTAAGAAAAATAATTAACTTAGAGCAAAACAACAGTTCCAATAACTGTCATATTCAGAATATCATTACCATAGTATCGTTTTTATGAATCTCATCACCAGTATTCTTTGGGAAATCCCCTTGGTATGGACAGCTAGACATCTCACTCCCACAGTCTTCATTGTCTGAATCAAGAATAATAAGGGGAATTGAAGGTGAAATATCCATAGTAGGAATGGGCATAGCTGGTGGAAGATTATGTGCTTGATGCTCATCCTCCAAATCAATGACGTGAGAAATGGATACATTACTATCTTCATCGCAGTGTCTCCCCACGTCTAGAGTTCCACATGGAGAAGAAAAATCATGTGCATATAGTTTGTTCAGAACCAGTCTCCTTCGAGCAATTAGGTCCTCTATTTCTTTTGCAACGCTTCCAAACTTCTCATGATCTAACCCTTCCTCTAAATTGCATAGAGAAAATGGATCACAACGATCCACAACTTTGGAAGAGAACTTCCATTCATTATGTTCACGTTCCACAGAGCAACTCACAGAATCCACTTGGTTCCTTCTTCTCCTCTTTGGACAACTAGCTGTTTCAGAAACGACATATTAGAGCCAACTATGAGAAGGGCGGGAAATATTGTGTTGACTTCCATGTTTTCACACTTCAAGTGCTTACAAATGCCTGATCTTTTTATCACAATTTTCTACCAGATACTGTTGCACGAAGAAACTACTCATGTAGCATCCTACAACCCAATATTATTGTAGATAAAAGTGGGGGCAACCCATGACAAGTTGATTAAGCTATTAATTTGGTAACCACAAGGTTACAAGTTCGACTCTCAGCGGGAGCGGCTTAATGACCTTCTTAGTTTGAACCGGTTAGCTATGGACAACCTAGGGTGACAAGGCGGGGTTACTCTGTGCACACCCTCGAGTAGTGGCTGTGGGTTTCCCTCATCATCCAAATATTATACTCTATAGTAGATAAAAGTGCATGCAAACACACAACAGAAAGATGTGGTAAAACTGAGCCTTCAAACATGAGACATAATAAAGTGGACTCCAATCAGAAATTCAGAATGCCATCAACACTAAGACACCATTCAGCAATTATTTTCGATCATAGAGACAAATAAATAAGAAAACTTGAGAGTATTCAACAAAGGAATCGAAAGTACCACTGGGGTTAGCAAAGGAAGACCTTGTACGAGGGGATTCATCACTGCTCCACCACTCTTCAATCGCAGAGTCCATGTCCATCACCACTAAAAATAGCAAACAAATAAACCAAACGTAAATGAAATATAAACTGCAACATTCACATTTGCTATGTAAAAATCGACGATCGTACCAAAAGCGCTCGGTCTAGCCAGAAGCTAAAGCCGAATCCGCAGAAGCCTCTGTCCCCGCTAAAGCTCGTGTCATGAGATGTTTGATCAAGTCCTATAACAACTAGCAAGAGTTAGGGTTTGGCATTTCATACGGCGCATACTCAAGGAAGAAGCTTTGCTTTATAGTGAAAAACGAGCTTCAAGCTCAGGACCATTCACTTGCTGAGAGGTGCGCTAATGGCGAGCAGAAACAAGGTTATTAGATACCTCAGGACCATTTATTATCAGAAAATCGTGTAGAAATCAACCCATAAACATCTGAAGAAGGAGGAGGAGGAGGAGGAGCTAGTTTATAGTATCACTCACATTGTGTTGATCAACTGTGCTGAAGAAAACGTGGGTGTCTTGGAAGAAGAGATATGGAAACAATGTGTTCTTAAGAATGAGGAAATTTGTGTGTGTTTTTGGCTGCTTTCTCTTTCCCCACTTCTTGTTTTACGGTACGAGATGGTACATTCCACTATTCCAGTAAGGAAAATGGTGGCTCGCTCAGAGATCACAAGCAACCCGCGGGGGACGAATACAAACTGAAAAACAGTACTATCAACAAATTTTTTTTTTATATTGTAAGTAAAATTGTTAAATTAATCCTTCAGTTCTAATAAATATGGGATATTTGGTAAATAACCGCTGTTAGTGAGTGTAAAAAGATATTTGATAAGTTATCTCTTAGCAAGTAGTGATTTCATACACAATGACTTTCTAAAATAGTTGATGGAAAAAATTATTTTGAATATCTTTTGAATTTTAGTGTTTTAGAGCAGTAAGATGTTACAAAAAGTTAATTAATCAAACACTCATATGGATTATTTAACCAAATTATACAGCTAGTCAAACAAGTTAAAATTGACTAATAGGCTAACTACAATGAAGGAGGCTAAGAAATTAAATACAGCACTATGTTTTATAGCAAAATTTCTACAACATCCATAAATTAGCAAGCAAAATATACCAGGCTTAATATGAAACCAGGCTTATTATGCAACTACTAGAGAAAAAAAAATGTGGTATATTAACTGTGAATAACATTTGTATATAAAGCAGATTAATAATATCATCCTATATGATTAAGAAACGAAGCCGCATGGGTAGCTCAACTGATCATAGAGGTGAAACTTTGGAATAATGACCAGGGATCGAGTCTCACCAGCGGCAGTGAGGGGGGCTCCTTGTGCGCAGTGAGCACCGGTCTAGCCTCTATGGTTCATGTTCAGTTGAGTCATCATGATTTACATCCTCCCAAAACGTTCTGTGCGCAGTGAGCACCGGTCTAGCCTCAAAATGCTCTGTCGGGCCGGGGTGTGGGTGAAACGAAGCTTTGGCCTTCCTTCCTTTCCCCTCCATCTAAGGAAAAAAAAATAATTTAAAGCAACCACAAAATGATATTTCAGGTTAGTTCTTCCTCATGGGAAGAAGGAGGAAGAACTTACCCCAAAGATCATTTTGTGGTTGTTTTAAGTCACTTATGTTACGTTGCTTGATTTAAAGACAATTTTACAAATTCTTAGAAGTTTTAAAAAAGAAAAAAAAAATCTGGATGATATTTGAATTAATTTACTAATTAGATTTTTTTTAAAGGGGAAATTCGAGAATTGAAGTGTATGTATGCAACTAACCCACTTTTAATATTGGTGCAAATGATGATTAATGGTGGAACAACTAAAGAAGTGTTGAATATTATGAAGTGTATCCATTGATAAGGATCTGTTAATGAAGAAACTGGATGCAGATATTAAGAGAGAGAAAATGCACAACAGAATATATATTCATACAAATTAGCCCGGATGGGAGGTATAGATCGATAATGCATGCATGTTTTTGCGTGGGAAATAATGAAGGTGGTGTGGACTATGCTGTTGTGACATTATATTATATATATGTAATATGTCAAACATATATTATCGTCCATTGAGAGAAGTAAATTGAGAAAACATTTCAGTTCCTGAGTGATCATTAAAGTCTTGAGCTTGAGCGGGGGAGGGCAAAGGAATGGGGTGGGTGGCGGCGGCGGGTGAAGCAGGAGGAAGAGGCGGCGCTATCGCGGCGGAGGGCCGCGTAGGAGAAAATGCTTTGTCGGCTTCTTGTAGCTGCAAAGCATGTTCGAGGTTCCAGAGGACATCGCCCATTGTCGGCCTATCAACGCCGTATTCCGCCAGGCATTTCTCGGCGGCTTCTGCGTATTTCTTCATGGATTCTTGGTTGATGTGACCCACCAACGTTGGATCAATGATCTTGTCTAATAATCCCTTCCGTTTCCATTGCAATGCCCACTCGGCCAAATTCACTTGCTCCCTCGGCAACTGCGGATTGATGGCGGGTCGGGCGCACAGGACTTCGAGGAGTACGACGCCGAAAGAGTAAACATCGGATTTGTCGGTGAGTTGCTGTTTTCGGAAATATTCAGGATCCAGATACCCGAAACTCCCCTTCACGGCGGTGCTGACGTGAGTTTGCTCCGTGGTGGGCGCGTCTTTAGAGAGCCCGAAATCGGACATTTTGGAGATGAAGTTTTCGTCCAATAAGATGTTGGTGCTTTTCACGTCGCGGTGGATGATCCCCTGGGCGGCGCCGGTGTGGAGGTAGTGGAGGCCGCGGGCGGCTCCGATGCATATTTCCAGGCGTTGCTTCCATGAAAGGGGACTCAAGTTCTTGCCGTAAAGATGGTCTCTTAAGGGTCCGTTGGCCATGTACTCGTAAACCAAGATCATCTCCGAGTTTTCGTCGCAATACCCGATGAGAGTGACCAAATGCCGGTGCCGGAGCTTGGACAACATTTGAATTTCGGTCCGGAATTCATGAATGCCTTGTTCGGAATGCGGATTCCCACGTTTCACAGCTACTTTTGTTCCGTCGTTTATTACTCCCACGTAGACGTTGCCGAATCCTCCGACTCCGATGATTTGACTGGGGTCCCAATTCCTGGTGGCCTCCTGCAATTCCGCTAAGGAGAAGTACCAGCCCAGCGCTGCTCGTGATGAGAAGAATTGGCTCTTTCCCATCCAGTTCTTGCTGTGCCTAGGGCTTGTATCTCCGGCATGGATGGGAAGCAGCCACGACGAGAAGCTCTTACTGTTTTGCCAATCTTGGGGCCTCCTTTGCCACTTCATAGCCATGGCTCCCAGCCCGATAAACGCACCGAACATCATGACAAACCCGAAGACGGCCGCCGTGTTCCGGCTGGAGATCCCAACATGCGCCCTCGACCCATCAACGCCGTATTCCCCGTCCAGGCTACCCACGGAATTGTTCATCCTGAAGATCTCAAGCCCGTTCAAGATCGCGTTTCTAATGCCCTGAGCATCCTCCACCGGAGCAATTTTAACCATGAGTGGATCGGAAATCATGGAGGAATTAACCACGAAGTCTTTGTAATAAGCGGTGTCCAATCTAAACACCATAGATGACAAGTCTAGCCCGGAAATCGCCATTTTTTCATTGATGTACACGTTGAAATAGAGCTGGTTTAGCCCTTTGCTGACAATATCCGCAAAATGGAGACGAACAAGATGGGAATACTCAAGGTCGATCGGCATCCTCCAAGTAATGTTGAAATCACGTTGCATGACTTTAGCGTCCGTCAATTGTACGGCAGAAGCGTAAACAGCCGGAGGAGCGATGACAGGGGTGAGGAGTCCTCCTTTGGGGTAGTTGATGATCGAGGTCGAAACGGAAACCGGCGTCCCCATTTGCATGGGATCCAGAAACGGCGTGTCGGACTCCCATGTTCTTCCGAGGCTGTCAACGTGCGGCTCCACGACCCCGCCTCCGATGTTTAGCCGATACAAGGTCTTGAGATTGGTAGAGGAAAGGTCGAATTGGGCGGAAACGGGGAACAGAGTGGAGGCGGAATTGGCGAGGAGGGTACTGGGGGCGGAGACGAACTCTATGGCGTTGATGAAGGCGGCGGTGCTGAGGGGCCTGAAGTACAACGAGAAATGCGGCGAGGTTACGTTGATGAGAAACTCCTTGACGATTGCGGTGTCGTTCTCGGCCTGAAAAACTTCGAGGAGGACTAAGGAATCTGTCTGGACGGAGAAAGTCACCGACTTGAGGTCATAATCCGGGTTTTCCAGCGGGAAAAAGTGGAGGCGGAGGTAGTGCCAGCCGGGCTGGGCGACGGGGAACGAGTAGGTTGCATCGTTCTCAAAAATCTTGGCATTCCGATATATGGCACCCAAATCCTTCTTATTGGAGGGCATGGAAGCCACCACTTCTGTACCTTCATAAGACAAGTATTTGGCGTCCGGGTGGAACACGCGGTCGCCGGGGAGCGTGGTGGCGGAGGTGGCGCCGCAGCCGACAAGGATATTGTCTGTGGGATTGTAGGGATGGAAACTCGTGGCAGGGATAACGCTATCCTGCGCATTATTGCCCACAATGAAGAGGCAGAAAAGAAGCAGCAGGAGGGACGCCATCCCGGTTCGTTTCCAGATCAGATAGCTACGGGCGGGCGGGCTAGCGCTGGTGGTCCTTTAGTCCTCTTTCATCTCCGGCCCTCCTGCGAGCTCAAGATTTGAGAGAGGATATGACCAAGGACGGATTAGACTAAAAGAAGCGTCCCGATCCTACATCATCCCTATTTCAACTACAACGTTGCATGCATGCATTCATTTTCAGCTTGCTTGCCGATACTGTCGCCGTGTTTGTTGTTAAATTTCACAGGTTGCGCACCAAAACAGAATTGGCTGGTCAACCGTTTTGTTCATTCTTGGGCATACTTTTAACTATTACTCCCTATTACAATTTAATTTACTAACAAGTTACTTCCCATATTTACCATGAAATTGAATTATTAGAGCGAGACTAATAATTAATTTCGTCTTTTCTTACTTATTATTACTTTCAAGTTCCAACTAATATGTTATATTTTTTAAGTGACGAACAACCAATATGTTACATTTTTTGAGTGACAAGGGAGAACTTACAACCATTAGTCGATGGTATGCACTACATAACTCATGCTTTGTAACCTTAGTCAACGATAAAGAAACACAAGGGAGTAAACTGACTTAAAACCAACTCACACTAAGAACGTCAATAGTGATCCATTATTATTTTCAATAAATATATTTCTATTGGAAGCTTTTTGAATATGGACCCCTAGGATTAAAGTTATCCCCATCTATATATCTATCTATCTATATCTACATTTTTTTTTGGTGAGGATCTATCTATATCTACATTGCTACTAAAAGAAAGTTTGAGTTTTTTTTTTTTTTGAAAACAAAAGTAACTTTGAGATAAAATTTCATAGCTAGCTAATATCTTGGGATGCTAGCCAAGCAAAGAATGTTTCAAACAAGTTGAAATAGATTCTCTCAATCTTAATTTCGAAATTGGAATTTAAAATAGAGGGAAGGAAAAGTTGTTGGAGGGACAACCTTCTTTTAATGAAAGGCAAAAAGGATAGATTCCTCTTCTAATCTCATTTCTTATGGGCAATTTCCACTAGTGTCATTAACAGAACAAAGAGATCTGCCTTCCACAATTAGAGAGCTAAGTAAAATAAGAGCACAAGCACATAGAATCCTGAGAATATTTGCAAGCGCTTGAAATGAAAGTGCAAAACAATCCAATGTGAATGTACACATATAAATAACTACTCTCAATTCCCTTTTGTAAAGCTAATAATTGATTGTCTTTTCTATTTGCATTGTTTCCCCTTCTTTACAGTGTATCTTCGAAAGCTAACCTAAATCTGCCAGTAGAACAACGTGTTCCTTGGCAAGGAACCCATAAGACGAGATGTGCATCGACTTGTGCTCTAAAGATCAAGCAAGCTAGAAGAGGAAGGTGGTCATCCATGATATCTGCAGACTTCCAAAAAAATATGTTATTACACGTTGAACACCTTAGAAGTAATGGATCTACAATGGACATGAGGGTAATGTACTAAAAAAGTATGTAAATATAACCAGAAATAGGGTCGCTAAGCTGCTTACCTATTATTTCCAGGAAGAAGCTTACTCCCTGCTAGATTTTGCCCAGAAAAATATCCTCTTTCGAGTAGAAAGACTCTCAGACAAGGTTCTGGTGCTCCCCTTTGACCCAAATGAAAAGTGGCGCCTCATGAAGGTCTTCCCTGATGAACTTCTCATGCTGGAACTTGAGCTCATCTTGGGATACCTCCCCTCGTGTCCACTACTTTTCTGACGGTCTAATACAGAAAGATTGCCACTAAAATTGCTGTCAACAATCCGATTCTTGTATCTCTTTCTAGCTTTTAACTCCATCTCAGCTTTCAGTGCCTTTTCAGACATCTTTAATGCTTGCTTCTCCCCGAATGTACAGACGGGGCAAGCTGGGTCATACTTGTTGATTTCAGATGTCATACTCTCCAAGCACTCAGCATGGAAAACATGCCCACAAGTTAGAATAGAAACAACAGCCAGTTCATTAGAGGCTATAATTTTCTGACTACCCCACAAAGATTTATCTGTTAACAGCTTTGAGCAAATGCCACAGGTTCGGAGATCAAGCGAGGGAGAACCAGAATTTCTTCCACTAGATCTGGCAACTTTATCACGATGGAAGCCAAAGCTTTCACTATCAAATGACCATCTCCCCCTCCGAGAAGTTGTCAGGAATTCAGGAAAGGAAGGAACAGACCATCCATCCGATGATCCACCATAAGATCCTCGAGTAGATTCATTGCTCCAACCAGGGAGAATGAAAGAGGACGCTTCTTCAGACACTGAGAAAGTTGGGGACTTGATTCCTGGTACACCACTATCAGATACATGCCGTGATAGATGGCGCCCAGGAGAGTGATGAGGCAACCTTGATGAAGTCAAGTTGGCAGAAGGCACTTGACTTTGTGATGACAAAGGTGACGTTGAAAAAGATGAAACTGAAGGTGCCGATGGAGACAGCTTTACAGGAGATGGGAATGATACTGCAGGAGATCCTGTTGACTCTTTTACCTAAAGATATATCAGTGAAGAAAGATGTAATGCTCAGTAACAGACATATATTGAATACAAGCTTTCAGACTCATCCTGAGTGTTCTAAAAAAACCATAATGTTTTTACCTCTGTAGAATTCCTGTCCTGGCTGTCCACCAATGGATCTGTGCAACAATAAGGGAAAGTGAATCAAATAATGGTTAAAAAACACATAGGGAACAAGCAACTTTATAGCTCGGCGCATACATATGGAGTAAACAACTTTATGGCTAGACAACCATTTGAATACTGTATAGTAAGGTAGAAACCAAAGAATAGGAAGGATAGTAAGGTACATCCATCTTGGATGTCTATTCTTATGGCAGGGAAACGAATGGCACCCTACAATGAAATAACAAATCCAAACTTTAATAAGAAATGAAAAAACTAATGCACATTTTCCTGAAAACAAATTTTACTTGATCCAAGAGTAGTACAGTCTTTGCACAAGCAGACTAATGCCTCAAGCCCCCAAGTAATGTTAGATTATATCCCATGCATTAAGAGATAACCAGACAATGATAACTTTTAAAAATGACAAAATTTATTACCATAAAAGGTTTATCATACCAAGTGGCTAAAAATTAAAAATTTATAGCATCCGATGATGCTTGGGGTTATATTCTTAGAAGTGAATAACGTTACTAACTACCAGCGACCTTTGATCCAAGTGGAAGATCAATCCCTCTTTAACAAGGTTGGTTTCAACTTTTGAGTCCAAGCCTTGTGAATGAAGCAACAAGTGTTGAAAGAAGTAAATATTACATCTTCCAGAGAGTAAGACCCTGAAGTTGCATTTGAGACACCAAAGTTCTCTATATTATTTTGGGACAAGTAATTCCTTATAACACATTATATTGCATATCCTCAAAGGGGAAATGATAAGAAACTCATGGAGAGTTCTACCTGTTGAAGGATGCATTGAACTTCCCATGTTTCTTTCAGAAGTGGGTGACTTTTGCCATGGAAATGACCTGAAACTATCCAATGGGCTTCCATCTTCAGATGGACATACTGTTTCAACAGTTGTACCAGACTTAAATTCCAATCTATCATTGCCACCAACTCCATCAGAAGACCAATTCACGGATGTCTCTTCACCAGCTACTCGTCCTCGATTATCCCATCGGAAACTCCATGATGGCGAATACCTGACATTCCGTTGCAAAATTTCACTAGTAGCTCCATTTGATATGGTTCTATCTCTTGCAGCTACACAACACGCAGAGCCCATGCTTGCTCACATACAAAGTAAGATCTATTCACAGCAAGCAGTCAACCAATAACAGTTGCGCCGTGTTCACAGCACATAATACCCTGGAATCACAAAAGAAAAAACTGAGATCAGCAATAGCAGGCATGAGATATTAAGATGTAGATATTTCAGCAGATTATGCACATTAACTACAATAAGAAAGATGCAGACAGAAAATGTTGCATCAAACACATAAATAGAGAATGCCTTTTGAAAGCTAATGATGTTGCACATGTCAAGACACTTAAAACTGAAGCTTCTGTGACTAGTAACAATTTAATTGGATCCCGCAATCAGAACATAAGACATCACTATGGTTCCAACTGAGTAGTACTTCAAGGTATCACTCAGCCCATCAACTTCTCTGTCAATATAAAAGATTCTCTGTATAATAATTGGCAAATAAAGAAACATCATCATGACCTTTTGTCATCAAACAAAGCATAACAAACACTGCATTATTGAAGCAACCGCTCTATTGTAACTTCCAATACAAAGTAAACAATTGCAAAATGAAGGGTAGAAACTGTTGCTATTACCTTCTTCCATAAGGTCATGATTTCTATGCAATAAAATAAATAAAAAGTTCAAATGCACAGAAATGAATTGCACGAGCATTTAGCATGGAATCATCACTACAAGTGCGAGCATATAATCTGAAATCAAATTTATAAATAAATAACAGGAAAAAAAAAAAAAAAAAAAAAAAAAAAAAAAAAAGATCAAATCATATAACAATGGAGATTACCATATCATTCATGATGACCTTGGCCAGGAAACTAAAAGGCGCTTTCCTTTAGTGTAATAGGGATTAAATGTTACTGCACTTATCAACTACCTATTAGCACACTCATTAGAGTGGAAGATAATTCTTAAATCCTCGAACAATATCGAGCAATTAGAGTCCCCAACCCAAAAAAAAAAAAAAAAAAACGCACACAAACACTCACAGATTACTGTTCAATAAAACCCTATTCACAAAATTTGATAACAAGTTTCGGTAATATTCGAAGTTTTTAATATACCAAAAAGTAATTGATCAAGCAAAGAAACACCACTCAAATACATATGTTCCCAAAAAAACATTTCTAAGACAAATTGAAGCTAAAAATAATAGATATAAGAATTGGGGTAGAAGCTTAGAACCTAAAGTTGAATCAATCTGCTAATTTGCAGAAGAGCAGTAGAAGGACAGAGTCTGAGTCACAAAACCCCCCATAAGTGAATTCATAACAAGTATCGAACACCCACATGTCAAAAAGATCCAAAATCCATGCCGAGAAAATAGTAATTAGAGCCACACAAGCACACAAATTTGCTAAATTACTCCATAATTTCCATATGTATGTCTAAATACCTCGCTCACCCATAC